TCAATATGCAAACTAGTGTTCTCATTAGTTTCTGCATGCCTTATCACCTAAATTGTCCACCTCTCCACAATGTACCTATGAGGGTTTACTTGATCTGGTAGAAGTTAAATAGTCCAAAAACTCCCGACAGACATGAAGCAAATTATTGCTATGTCTCAAAGTAATTACAAAGGTTTAAAGCCTCTTATTTAAAAAGAACTTAAAAGTATGTTCTTATGCTAACCAAATCAATTAAAGTTTGGGGTGATGTAATTAAACAAGAACAATCAAATTCAAAAAAAAAAAAAAAAAAAAAAAAAAAAAAAATATGGACTAGTGGTCAAAGACTATACAATTTAATTTTAAGCTGGCTCAGTAACTCTAAAAAAACTAAATGCATTTAAAATGTATAGAAAAAGCTGCTAATTTTATTTCTTTAGTAATATTAGTTATTCACAAGAGACATGAAATATATATGGTAAGGGGCAGTTACAGAGCTGGTGTGGCAGAATTTTTAGAATTTAGTGACACACCCAGCAACAAAATGTAGAAATGGCAAAACTTTTAGAATTTAGAGCAGGCACTGGAAGCAGAATTTAGAAAGGCACTAGTCAGCAAAATTTATGATCTACAAAGAGAGGTTTAATATTCCATGTGATTGCACTAGGTGGGAAAATGCCTAGCATCAGACCAGTGTATGATGCATTAAGACATATTAGATTAATATTTTAAATTGCCAGTTTTCAATTTCTTTATTAATCAAAAAATTCCTTTCTATAATGCCTGTCCATGTGATAAGATTAGAAGCATTTTTAATATTTTCCATACTTGTGTCTAGTGAAAAGTAGAGAAAATAAAGCGAAGATAAGCATGTTAAGAAAAAGATTCTACTATCAGAAGTAAAACATTCAAATATTATGTTTTCATTGTTCTTCCAGACGTTATACAAAAAGTAAGAAATTCATTGCAAACTTTCTGCAAAATACATCCATTACGTGTTAATACCATAACGACATTTTTCATTTTGTCACATTTTTCTAAAATCTTCTGGAATTGTGGGTCTATAAATCTTGCCTTCAAAACTTTTCAAGTTGCAATGTCTAATGTCCGGAAGAAAAATTACCCCTACCAGTTTTGTAACAGCAAACAGCCAAAAATATTTTGGAAGAAAAAAAAGGGAAAAAAAAAAAATCAGATGAAAAAAGTATGAAATTAATTAATTAATTTTATAGAGAAAACTGATGCATATTCTGAGAATTCGGAATACTCTGAGACAATTACATGCGAAAACTCTTATCATGAAAAAATTGAAAAGATATTGTTACGGATTTGGTATTTAAAAAGCTAATGTTATTTGAATTATAAATTAAATTGGTTTATTTCCCATGCAGTGCAGCGCGTGACGAATATTAAAGGAAAGCTAAGCCGGAAAATTAAAAAATACAAAAGCATGCACATTTAACATTAAATAAATAAATATCTCTTTTTGATTTCGAGAAAGTTCCAGAAAATTCTCGCGCGCTATTTAAAATCTTATAAAAGGAGGAAAACCTCTCAGTTTGGTGTGATTTTAGTTAGTTACTTAGTTTGTTGTTGTTTTAAGAGTTTGTTTAGGAAACTGCTCCTGTTGATTGTAGCGAATTCGCGGATTAGCTTTCTTTAGCTGTTTTGAATTAAGTTCTCTTCAACGTTTGAGTAGTTAGAAGATACTACTTTGATATATTGTGATACTGCACAATTATTTGAGGACATTTAATCATATTTTTTGTGATAATAATAAATTTTCTTAATTTTTTATCGGACTTGTGCATTCATTTCATGACGAACCCGTACGCACGCAACAATATTTTTAAATTAATATATTACTTTTTAAATATAATTTCAATATAATAACATTATTTTAATGAAATTTATCAATGTTAGAATGTTTAAAAAAAATCGTCGAAAAATTCCCAGCTCTTAGAATTTAAAATTTTGGTTGATCTTTACAATATTGTAACTGGTAGTTTGGCAACATTTTGGAGGCGATAAACGTTACTACCTGGCACTTTGGTAATAACGTGAGCAGTACTCAGTTCCGATTACGCATTATTTTGTGTGAGGGAAATGAGAGATCATGGGATATGTCATGTGATATTAATGGACGAATTACGGTTCTTTAATCGGAAAAGGGGGGAAATCGGGAAAAAATCTGGAAATTTTGTATTTGGCTTTATTCTGTGTTGTGTGAAACAGTGTTCATGAATTTTTGGATCCCATGGCCGTAACTAAAGTGAATTCGAAATGGGTATTTATGTATGTATTAATTTAATGTATGTGCTCATTTATATTTTTAAGTAGTGTTTTTGAATTTAATTATATTTTTAATTAAATGATAGTTATTTTGTGAATTTTATGTTTGTAGGAATTTGGTATACGTTTTTAGTTGAAGTAACGTGCATGGAAATAATTTAAATATCTGACACTAAGTATTTGTAATGGTTGTGGTATGAATTCATTGGTGACGTGTATAATGTAATAGATGATTTAGAGGTAAAAGTTTTTGGATATTTTTATTTATTTTATATGTGGAAATGTTCATATTTGGAAAGGGTAAATACTTTTTTGCGATCAGGTAATTTCATATATGTTCTTTTTACCGGGTTTAAAGATTGAGAAAATTGTCATGTATTTTTTTGAAATTTTTCTAATTTATGAGAAAAAAGCAGTGTACATGGATATAGTGAAGAGTGTGCGCAATGCCATTTTTGTGCAATTCTGGGATGTTTTTTTAAGTAAAAATAAGTCGGCGTGTAAATGGTTTATGTGTATGTGTTATTTTGAAAAACGCGTAAGGAGTATGGTATTGTGCACTTTTTCCCAATTTTGCAGTGAATATTTATTTGTCATGATTAAGCAGTTTTGTTAGAGAAAATTTCTAGCATAAGTGTAATTCGGCTAGTAGATTGTTGGAAGAAGTGTTCAGTAGATAAAAAGAAAAGAAACATATCTTTACTTCGTGAAGACAAAATGGCGGCGGGAAAAAAATAGAGGATTGCTGTAGGAGAGTTGGTCGCCAAATTTTTGCCAAAAAACGGCAAGTTACCATAATGTAAAGATCAACGAAAATTTTCTACAGAAACTGATCTTAAAAATCGCCAAAATGTTGATAAGTCAACTTAGATCTGTTCAATAAAAGAATTCACATCCCAAAAAGCAAAAAATTGTTTAACAGCTCTTCATTAGAAAAAGTGAAATAATTTCAAAATACTTGTTTCACTTCTTGCTCAGAAACTGAAGTATCCCACCATTTATATTAGAAAAAGCAACAAATCATAACCCATTCAAATAACCATATTTATCACTGAATCGCCAAAAATATACCTAAAAACTGCTAATTCACACTCAAAATGGCAGTCGTAAAAACAGACAGAAATTTCACATGATTAAAATTAAGGACCTTCTGCCGTTTTTGGCCAAAATTAAGGACTTTTAAGGACCAAAAATCGATTCCAAAAAACTTAGGGACTTTTATGGACCGTACGAACCCCGACAAACTCTGTGTCCATGTACACATTGATCTGTTTTCACTTAAAAAAACATCCTAGAATTGCACAAACTAGGCATTGTGCACTGCTTTAAATTTGTCTATGTACACATCAATATATTTTCATTTAAATGAAATCAGCAAGCTAAAACAAAGTTAAAACTATCATGGTAACCAGAAGTGAGGTTTCATCGCCAAAATTTTTTTAAAATTGTCACTAATTGAAGGGGCACCCAATTCTACACTACAGCCTCCCCCTTTTTTTTTTCGTGCATTAATAACATATTTGTGTTCATCGACATTTGCAGTAATTTAGTTTACAGGTGCAATTATTTTCAGTGCTTTTTAAAAGAATGTCTAATAAACGGCAAATAATTTTCTTCAATCTGCTGAATTTGCTTGGGTATGGAAACACAGACATTATTTGTGATTTTAAGGAAATGAGCTAATTTCTGTGATTCTGCGATTGATTTAGACATTATTTATTCGAAACCACATGTGTTAGTACTAAGGGATACAGCATATTATGCTTTGAGCATACTATGATACAGCATATTATCTTTTGAATACAGTATTATTTCAGGATAATGAATCAGACAACACAAACACATTTAGTGTCTAAATGAATATGCTAAAGAAATTCTTGACAGTCTTGTCTACAAATAATTTTTGGAAGTGATATATAAAAGTTGAAAAGTTTGGCAAAGTACAACTGAAACATAAAGCATAAGAATTCTTTCATTTGATGTTAACATAATCCCCCTCCCCCAAAAGGATGAGATTAAAATTAAGCTACAAACAGAGAAGCACCAAATTTATTAAAAGAAAAAAATAAATAAATAAAACATAAACTGATTTTCGTTAAAAAAAGTACATTCCGATTCTACAGTGTTAACGCATTTTACAGAAAAGGGCTAAAATTCTTTTCTGTACACAAATCATACTCTTCCTCTTCTATATATAAATACGAAAAAATTCTAAAGAATGCTACACAAGCTTTAGAGAATGCTACACATATTATACCAGGAAAAAAAAAAAAAAAAAAAGGAATACATACTAATTTTAAGAAATATTACACAAGTAACACTCAACCCAGTTGTGACAAATTATAGCAGTCTTATGATGTTCATGACCCACATAATTTTCTGACATTTATTATTGTTACACAAGATATATTTTTCAAAAGTTAAAAGTTCAGCGTGTTTAGAAAAATATGACAATTTACTGCTATGAGACACATGCAATCTAGTTCTGATACTGAACACTGAAGGTAAATTACTCAATAGTTTTGCCAAACAGCAATCGCCTACTATTTCCCGAGTGCTAAGATTGTACGCCATTTTTCGTGGCTTAACAACAACAGCACAATATTGTGCAACAGAATTAAATGTATGCTCTATGATGAATTTAATTCACTCAAATATTAGAGCTCAAATAAAGCGGCCTGTTGGATAACTTTTCAGCGAACGAAATCAAAGATAGTTTACGAACTTACATTGGGCAGAAGCGTAGTGGTCCTTTCTTGATTGGCTATGGAAATCCAGCACCAATGGACAACGAATCACCGGTCATAAAAACAAGTAGCTTGGCCTTTATTGGTGCCGTGTCTATCCTTTCACGAATGGATTTATTTCATCAATAAATACTGTCTTAGACACTAACCATTCAAAAGACAAAGACAAAGACAAAAATTAATTCAATATCACATGTGGAGAGAAGTTCAATTAGTACTTTAGAAATCCGAGTATCAGAATGGGTTTGATGAAGCCACATTTAACAAATTCCTGCAAATGAAGGTACGATTTTGTACCAGTTTTCTGAAACGTTTCATAGCGCTTTTCTTACGTTGCCGCCAATAAACGTTAATAGTTATGCTTACAGCCGCCAGAGCGCACTAGTAAGCTGTCAGTGAAAACTATGGAATAAACATCATTACACGTTTTAAATTATGAAATAAATTCTGAAATTCGATTTAAAAAGTAATAATTAAATATTTACAAAATATGAGTTAAAATAACCGCCGAGTAATCATTATAGGAGATGCTATGGCCAATTACTTTGATTTTTGTTTACTTAGACCCCCAAAAGTTTATAAAATTATCAAATATAATTATGCTGATAGCTTACAATTACTGCATATTATTTCCGAGCAACGAGTATCAGAAGCTTTTTTTTTCCTTGAATTGCTTTCAAAAATTCGGTTCCCCAAGGATTTCAAAACTAGGTAAACATTTTGACATTCAAACTTTTCAATACTTTTTCACATTCATATATTTCATACGTTAAATCATAATGAATGATACCTAACCCTTGCTTTACATTTGTTTAAATATATATTTTCAAAACTTCCAGTAGATTTTGCATTGATATTGCGCAATTTATAAGGCGAAAAAACAAAAATAGGATGTTCTCCGAACAATATCCCAAACATACTGTGCCTACGAGTGATGCAACACCAGAGTACCTGGTCATATGATAATAAATTATTTTTCCAGATAGAACGTCTACTGAGAAACGGTAACAGCTAGTTCTGGTTATTCAGTTTTTACGTTTTGTAATAACAGATAGACGTTTGGTGGTCGTGTGTGCTTAATGCATGATATAATTAAAGAAAATAAGAGTAGACAATCTCCTATAACAAAAGAATATATTAAATACTAAATTACAATTTAAATTACATTGAAGAGATCTACACAGAGCTCGGAACACAGTTCATGCTACCTTCGCGTACCGTTGTGTGACGAGAAGTCTGAGTGAGTAAAGATGTCGCTTTGCTGCTCCGATTAAGAACTGGATTTTACACGTGGCGCCATCATCATGAATAGAAGTTGAAGTATCTGTCGGAACGCCACAGTACTCCCCCCCCCCCAAGTACCATCGGTACGTTATAAGTACTTTGGGTTAAATTTAAGCTTTCTTCCAGATCTGGTAGTTTTAGGTTGCTCTTTAATGGGATGTAAGCTTTCTTCCGGGAGTGATGTTGATGAGGAAGTTGTTGGATCTTGCATTAGAAATGCTGGTTTGAGACGATCGATTCCAATCACTGATTGTTTGCCATTGCAGATGATGGTGAAATGTTTCGGTGTTCGTTTGACAACTTTGAATGGACCATCATATGAAGGTGTTAAAGTTGGCTTAATTGCATCGTTGCGCACGGAATACGTGCGAAGATGTCTCAAGCGCCAGGATGTACAAAATAGCTTGGCTGGTTATGCGAAGATGCTGGGGTTGGCGAGATATTGCTCATGGTCTCACGTAAACGTTGAAGGAATGTTGGAGGGTCGATAACTGGAGTAGATTCTGGGTGAAAGAATTCACCTGGCAGACGGAGGGTTGCACCATATAACATTTCAGCACAAGTGCTACCAATGTCTTCTTGAATGCTGCGCGAAAGACCAAGCAAGACTAGGGGTAAGGCTTCTGTCCAGTGTGTGCTACTGTGGCACTTCAGACCTTGTTTGAGAGATCGGTTGAAAGCGTTCCACCATGCCATTTCCAGATGGATGGTATGGTGTTGTGCGAATATGGCGAATGCCAAGAAGAGAGGTGAGGGATGCGAACAAGTGACATTGAAATTGTCGGCCTTGATCAGTAGTGATGGTGGTAGGCATGCCAAATCTTGAAAGCCACTGGAGAGATGAATGCTCGAGCTACAGTCAGCGGATATATTTTCAATAGGAATGGCTTCAGGCCATCTGTGTACCGATCAATACAAGTGAGGAGGTAAGTGTAACCATTTGAAGGAGGCAATGGGCCAACCAAGTCTAAGTGTACATGATCAAAGCGTCTTGCTGGAAGGTTAAATTGTTGAATGGGACTGTGAGTGTGACGGGATACTTTACACCGTTGACATCTAATACATGAACAAGTCCATTCTGTGACTGTCTTGATTCATTCGCTGGCCAGACAAATCTGTCTGCGATCAGCTTTTTGGTGGCATGCGGGATTCCAGGATGTGCCAAATTGTGCATTGCATTAAACACTTCACATCTAAAATTGTATAGGAATATAGGGAAACAGGAATTCTATTGTTCTCTATATCACAGTAAATTTTAAAGCATTGGATCAATGTGCAGCGGTTTGTAATTGAAGGGAGGTTTGTAAATTTGAGATCAGGTTCTTGAATTCCTCATCATGCAACTGAGGTTTTGCAATTTCAGAAAAATCTGGAGTAGTGAGGTTGATATTGTTTATCCGAGGCAAAGCATCAGCAACACAATTTTCAGTACCAGAGACATGTCTGATGTCTGTACTGAACTAGACAATAAAATCCAACTGTTGAAGCTGACAAGGAGAACATGAGTCAGAGTTTTTTCGAAAAGCGAAACTTAATCGTCGATGATCAGTGAAAATGATAAAGTCATGTCCTTCCAGATTGTGTCAGAAGTATTTAACAGCACAGTACACAGCAAGCAACTCCCTGCCATATGTGCTGTATTTCCTTCTGCAGTAGTAAGTAAGTTTCTGGAGAAGAATGCCATTGGGCAAAGTCCTTTAGTGGTATGGGCTTGAAGCACGGCTTCTGTGGATGAGTCAACTGAATCTACCATTATAGAGAGCTTATCACTAGGTGAGTGATAAAGTGTGTCTGCATTTGCCAGATTGTTTTTGCATTGCACAAATGCTGCAGATGCAAGATTCCAGTCCAAAGGACAGCTCTTTGATTCGCTTTTTTTTGCTATTCTTCAGAAACTTCATGCATGGCAGGCCTGTGTTTATGCGGCATTTGGTAGAAAAGCGTCGGTAGCAATTTTAACATTGCTAGGAAAACGCTTCAGTTCAGAGATGATTTTTTGGGCTGAGGTAGGTCGTTAATTGCTTTGACTCTTTCAGGTAAAGGTTTTACTCCATTCTGGGTGATAAGACATTTAAGAAAGGAAACAGGGCTGACCAAGTACACATTTGGATGGATTTAGTTTTAATTCATGATCTTTAAGGCGAGTGAAATCTGACGCAGATGTTTAAAAATGTTCTTCCGCATCTGTAGATGCAACCAGGATATCATCAAAATATGGGATGCAGAAATCGAGACCAGACAGTACTTGGTGTATGAAACGCTGAAATGTTTGGCCAGCATTGCGAAGGCCAAATGGCATATATAAGTACTCAAAGAGGCCAGTCACTGCGGTCTTTGGCACATCTTCAGCATGCACTGGGATCTGATGATATGCTCTGGCAAGATCGAGGGTAGAAAATATGTTTGTTCCATGAAAAAAATGGGTACAGTCTTGGATATGTGGGACTGGATATCTGTCAGGGACTGTGACGGCATTAAGTCGACGATAATCTCCACAAGGCCGCCAGTCACCATTAGACTTTTTAACCATGTGAAGTGGACTGGCCCATGGACTTTTAATGGGCGAATGGTTCCCTGTGCTAGCATGAATTCAAATTCTTTGCGAGCAGCTTTTAGCATCTCTGGAGAAAGACGACGGCTTGGAAAATACGGTGGGCCATGTGTTTCAATGTGATGATACACTTCTGGGTGATGAGTATGCTGCCCTGATTTGGGATGGGTTTAAAATGTCAGGGAATTCTGCTAATGACCGATGAAACCGTGTGCTGCCCGATAAACATTTATGTTGGTAGGGTACGTTCGATATATGAGAAGCTTGGCCCTGTGATGTCAGCTGAGTTGTAGCATCAATTAAGCAATTATTCTTGACATCCACTAGAAGGTGGAAATGTGTCAAAAAGTCGACACCAGTAATTGCTTGAGTTACATCGCAATAATAAAAGGCCGTTGAAAGTCCGGCGCAAGTTTAAATTCAAGTGTCAATAGTTTGGTGCCGTAAATTGCAATCTGGGTACCATTTGCTGTATGCAGTACAAGTTTATTAAGTTGGTAAGCATTTGTTTTAGTTCTCGGGATCATTTGCGCTGATATGTCTGCTCCAGTATCCACCTAGAAAACATAACTGAGTTGAACGGATCGATCTGTACAATTCTGTCAATGTGGCGGAACATTCTGTTGGCCAGCAGAAGACCGCCCACTTAGTTTCCCAGTTGTTTAAAAGTACATAGAGGGAGCACACTTGCGTGCCTGAGCACCAAAGATTCATATGGATTAAAAACATATGCCACTTGCAGGCTCTTTGTATTGCATTCAAGCATTGTGATGAGATCGACTTCCTGGCTTTCGGGCACGAAATTTATTGCATGGGCCCTGATTCGATCGACTGTATTATCTCCGTGAAGCATCAAGACTTGTCGAGAGTTCAGACACTTTCTTTGTCAATTCGGCCACTTTTTGTTCCAGGGATGAACTTGAAGGTGCAGCATTAGCAGCCCTGACATAAGCTGGAGTAATAAGTTCATTAATTTTGTCAGCCATTGCTGCTAAACGGGTTTGATCTTCATTGGAAAGCAGCATGAATTATTTGTATGTTATTAGAGTTATTATTTGTATGAAAGCCATAGTGACTTCAACAAGTCATCACTGAAATGGCTTCCTGCCAGATCACACATTCATGTACAGCAAGTATGAAGGGTCGCTGATCACCATGTTCAAGTCCTTACAGTAAAGTAAGTATTTTTGAAGATTCACTTTCTGAATTATATTTCAATGAGCCTGCTGTTTCAGTTTGGAATATTTGTCCTAGTCAGGTGGTTTAAGTATTAAGTCATGCACTGAATTCAGAATATCGGACTCGATTACTGCAACTACGTGGTTGAATTTTGTAGAATCCTCACTAATGCGAGCGATAGAAAATTGTGTTCGATCTGAGCGAACCACAATGAAGGATTATTTTTCCAGAAAGGCGGGTGGCTTCACCGCAACGTGTGTGATTTGTGGCTCTGGTGGAATATCGTCGGGCATACTGATAGAT